TGACCAGCAGCTGTCCAATCTCTGCTTCAAAACCTGCAATGAGGGAGAATCCACCACCTCTTACAGCAGTCGGTTCCCCTGCCAGACAGCTCTTACTTTCAAAATGTTCTTCCTAATGTTAAGGGGAAATCTCCTTTCTCAAAATTGGAATCCCGTTACTTCGGGCCGTACCCTCTGAAGGCAATCTGGCCCCATCCATTCCAGGCCTTTCTATGTTTTAAGCTGACTATCACATCTGGTGAAGCAGGTTTACATGGTTTTATCAATGTTTTCTCTAAGTTTTGCTTTTATATGTTTTTTTTTAATTGTGTGAGCTGCCATAACGAAGGAAGGGAGGGTGGGCAGACGGACAGAGAAGTAAGTTGCTTATGCTTGTAATTTAATGAGGGAGAAGTGTAATTGTTAAGTGTTTCAGTTTCTTTTATACTTACAGGACTCTGTGTTCTCAGTACTGAATTGTGTTTTGCATTAAAGCCCAGCCTTCAAATATATGTTTCAAAAAGTAACTAAAAGTAATTTTAGTAATTTCCAAATAAGGGGGAAGTAAAGAGTAACCTAAGTAAAAAAACTGAAATGATGAGACCAAAGTTCCTTTGGGGCTTTACAACTATAACATATTCTTTTCAAAATGACTCGACTAAGCTGGGATAGTTGAGATGGTTAACAAACAGGGTGGAAGACGCAGTGCAGTCCATTTTTCATCTCTTTTTGAATTCCCTAAAGCTCTGTCTTGAGTTTTTTTTCTCTCCTTCCTTTTGCAGCTGGGAGATCCCACACTGAGTGTTCTGGAAATCTGGGGAGCTGAATATCAAGAATCAAATGCTCTCTTGCTACGCCCTCGCCATGCAGATTTCCTGCACCGCCTGGCACGCCGTGAGAGATGCCCTGTTGACTTTGTAGGCAGGATTACAGGAGATGGACGGGTATGTTAAGAGTTAGAGGGACATCATTCGATGAAACTGGGGAATTAATGAGCAGGTTAGCGTTGCAGCCCTGCACGAAATGAGTACGGACATCCAAAAGATCACTGATTAATTGTCTGAGAATAGATAGTGCGGTGTCAATAAGCCGTTTCTTTGTTATATTGTTAAAGGAACAGAAATAGAATTAACTTCTGAAAAAATTTAGGAAGATAGCACTTGTCACAATTAACTGTAACGTGGCAAAGGTGTGTGCCCCTCAGATTTGTTGGACTATAACTCCCATCCACCCTAGCTAGCAGATCCAGTGGTGAAGAATGATGGGAGTTGTAGTCACACAACATCTGCCGAATCAAAGACTCTCCATCCTTGTGCTATTAAATATCTGGGCTTAATAGAATCATAAACTTCTAAAGCATTTGATTATTGAAAGGAGATTTTTTCCTTTTAAAAATATTTTCACATAACTTTAGCAATCATGGCTTTTGATTGGAAATGTCAATGGATTTTAAAAGTTGCAAGCATTTGATTATTGAAAGGAGATTTTTTTTCCTTTTAAAAATAGATTTTCACATAACTTTAGCGATCATGGCTTTTGATTGGAAATGTCAATGGATTTGAAAAGTTGCTTCTAAAACTTCACCAGATTGAAGATGTAGACAACCGCAACAAAATTCATATTGGAGAGTTTTCAGTAATATTGGAAACTAATTTGCTATTTAAACATACCAGGTTCAGATTCCATGCCATAGGCACAAGAGCGTAAAAGCTTGAGACCATATTCTAGTAGTTTCAATGGGAATAGAAAATGTGTATTTTTTCGGACTGAAATTCCCATCATCCCTCATTATTGGCTGTCCATTGAGTGCTACTGGGAGTTGTAGCACTCGTTGCTAACTTACTACTATTGTTGGAGACGGTGAGTGTTGTGCTTATGATGCAACACAGAGTTTGGAAAAGGTGGGCGAGAGAGAAAATACATGTAAGGTGAGGAACTTGGCCGCTGAAGATGCTGGAAAAGCTACTCGCTAGAATAGTTTTAGAAGGACGTGATCTGTAAAAATGACTTCTTTTCCTTCTTCTCTTCCCTGGGGGAACGGATCCTGAACAGATCGTGCTGGTGGATGACACTAAGGTTCCGGCGAGCGAGACGGAGTTGGAGAAGGGCCAAGTGGGAGAAAGGGCCACACCCGTGAACTTGAAGCTGGAATGGGTTCTGGGCAAAATGCCGCGGAAGGTACGGACGGGGGTACGGGCAGAACTCGCTCTGGAGGAAAAGTCTTTGCAAAAGTTCACTTAAAATGTAGGGTGCCATAACAGAAGGTGAAAGATTGAATGCACAATACTTTCAAACTCTTTTCCTCTCTGCTTGTTTGTAAGAGGGGTCACGATCCTTGACATTTCTGCATTTTATTTTTATTTTTGCTTTGTGAAGAACACTAAAATAAATGGAAAGGCCCCTCCATTTTGTACAATAATATTATTTTCCCCAGTTTCCTCTGCTAATTCTCTGCTGCCCAGGTTCTGTGGGGTAGTTCGAAAGGCTGATGCCTCCACCCCCGCCAAAGTTTGTTATAGGAATTTAGGATGCAGAGTGTGGAAGAAGTTATTTTTGTGGAGTACGGTGCCTGTTCTCTCTCGCCAGCATGCCCCATTGAGCTGTCGTCCAAGAAAAGTAACTTCTCCTCATTCTGATGGGACCACAAGAAACTATCTTAAGTCTAGCTGGAGGTATATTGGATTGGCAGAGACGGGTGCCTGCCATCACCCGCTCTGTAATGCTTTGACGGGGAATACTGGGATTTGGATCTGAAATTGTCTGTAAGAAAAAAACAGATACACACAAACACACAATCAGGAGGGGATGTATGTGTGCACACACATGGGTGTGTGTGTGTGTTTCTAGGAAGGCCTGGATTAGGGACGTGCCTGCTTGTCCCTCCAAGCTCTCCATCATCCTTTCCTCTAGCTCTTTGTTGGGGTATAGTATAAATAAAAGTGATTTCTCTAAATACTACTGGTGTTGGTTTCTTTGGGTTTTTAAAAAGGGGAGACAAGGAACCATATTTTTAAGCCCAAGAGATTGAGTTCCTTTACTTGACAAGATCAAATGATTCTTGTGGACAGATGGCCTTCTTATCGTTTTGACATTTTCCCACCACGGGTGTGAAGAAGGTAGGGCTCAATGTTATGAAGGTCTTTTCAAAGGTAAGCCTGGGGTGCAGGTCTGAACTCACTTCCCTCCACCAGCTTCTTTGGCTTGAAGTAACCTCTTATCTCCAATCACTGACGTCTCCAATCACTGACTCTTATCTCCAATCACTAACTCACATTCGTAAGTTATCACGAAAGTTGGCCAGATGGAGGGCCACTGAAGGACATTTCCAGAATACAGGCCCTAAATTCTCCTTTCCTCCTGCAGCACCAAGCCTGGCTAATATTATACTGTGCATTCACTGATGTTAATCTCTGCTGACCAGGAATTTATTCTGAATCGTGCGAAGCGAGCTCTCCAACCTTTGGATCTCCCTGGTGATCTTTCTGTGGTCGATGCCCTCCAGCGGGTGCTGAGGCTGCCCTCCGTGGCCAGTAAACGATACCTGACCAATAAGGTAACCTTGGGCACTCTTCATGTTCTTTTTGATGCTGTCATATATTCATTCCAGAGCATGGCATGCTGGGTTTAAAAATAAAATTATTAATATCGGTGGTTAGATATAGGGGCACGAATGGGCTGTGGTTAATTTTGGGATATAATTCACTCTGTTGTCCTTGATTCATTCATTAATTAAATGGTTAGATTTTCAAAGAAGCCATGGGGCTGGCTATTCCCAACCTCTAATACTGAGTACTTTTAATCAACAAATTGACTTGTTAAGTCTCATTGGGTTAAGGGTTACTTAGTTAGCTTAGAGTTAGTAAATTCTGAGCTCTGTAGTATACACATTAGAGGGTGTGTGTGCGTGCGTGCGTGCGTGCGCGCGCTTTTCAAGTACAGTTGGGGAATTCTGGTAGTCCAAAAACACAGATTTTGCCCCCTCTAATATATGTGCATAAATACTGTAGTTATGCATGCATGTGTTAAAGGGGTGCATATATATATATATATATGGGTGGAAGCCACAACTTTTAGTCTGCAAAACCTGACAGAGCTGTTAGTGATTTTGATAACACATGCTGCTTCGTCGTTTAGTCTTGTCCGACTCTTTGTGACCCCATGGACCACAGCACGCCAGGCCCTCCTATCTTCTACTGCCTCCCGGAGTTCTGTCAAATTCATGTTGGTTCCTTCGTATCGGTGGTTAGATACAGGGGCACGAATGGGCTGTTGTTAATTTTGGGATTTAATTCGCTGTATGGTCCTTGATTCATTCATTAATTAAATGGTTAGATTTTAAAACAAGCCATGGGGCTGGCTAATCCCAACCTCTGAGATGGAGTACTTTTAATCAGCAAATTGATTTGTTAAGTCTCATTGGGTTAAGGGTTACTTAGTTAGCCTAGAGTTAGTAAATTCTGAGTTCTGTAGTATACACATTACAGGTAGGTGTGTGTGTGTGTGTGTGTGTGCTTTTCAAGTACAGTTGGGGAGTTCTGGGAGTTGTAGTCCAAAAACACAGATTTTGCCCCCTCTAATATATGTGCATAAATACTGTAGTTATGCATGCATGTGTTAAAGGGGTGCATATATATATATGAGTGGAAGCCTCAACTTTTAGTCTGCAAAACCTGACAGGGCTGTTAGTGATTTCGATAACACATAATTCATGTGATGGCAAATAAAAACAACAACAACATAAAGTGATCATGGAGCCCAGGAAAATAACATATACTGTAATTCATATAGTCACCATTTGATGGCAAATAACAGCAACATAAGGGAGAAGCTTTGTACGTTGGCCTTTTTTTGTCTGATCTGTTTTTAACTCTCTTCCTTTGTTTCTTTTCCCCAGGTTGATCGCTCCGTGACAGGGCTGGTGGCCCAACAGCAGTGTGTGGGTCCCTTACACACCCCTTTGGCGGACGTCGCTGTGGTGGCCCTCTCTCCCTTTGAAACGGTGGGAGGAGCCACTGCCCTCGGGGAGCAGCCTATCAAAGGGCTCATTGACCCTGCCGCTGGTGCCCGATTGGCTGTAGCAGAGGCGCTCACCAATCTCGTCTTCGCTCGCGTCACAGACCTCAAGGTGACACAACCCTGCCATTATATACCGTTGCCCAAATGGGTACTCATAATTTTCCCCATCATTTTATCAGAGCAGAGAGATCTAATTCACTAGTCCATTGCATCTAGAGGCCCCCAAAGATTGACATGAATGTTGTGCTCAAGCAAACAATACTTGGATATAATGTTTTCAGAGTTGAAACTTCTGTAGAAATTCTAAGGGAGGAAACTGTCCATTTTTAGGAAGTCTCGTACTTCATATATTGTTAAACTTCAGATCCCATCAATCTTAGCAAGAGTATCCATCAGTCTTAGGGAAAACTGAGGTGTGTGGTGTGAGAGAAGTTGTAGTTCCTCATCTTGAGGGCCACATGTTTCCTTTCTTTTTTCTTTTAGGCTTGCACAAAAGCGTTCCACTTTTTATCTCCTTGCATTTAAAAAAATCCTCCAGAAGAATGTTTATTTGTGTGTTTAGTGTTTATCCTGTCTTTTTTCCCTTGTTATTTCTTTCACTCATTCAGTGTGTTTCTCATTCTCACAAACGTCACCGTCCTCCCTGGCTGGTGACCCCCCAACAACCGTTCTGCAGAAGCTGTGATTTCCGTATCCTCTATTATTTCTTCCAAATCGCCTCACACTCTGCTCCTGCAGTTTAGATCTTGGGAGTTTGCCTCTGAACCTAGATGTTTTCTCTCAAGGTTTAGGGCTGTGTCCTATGGAATGCTGGGATTTGTAGTTTGGCAGGCTGCCTAGACTTTTTGGGCTAGAGGGCTCTGGGGCACTTCCCGTACATTTTGGACTGCCACACCCAGAATCCACCAGTGGTCCTGCTGGCAGCAGGATTCTGGGCATTGTAGTCCAAAAGGATAATTTGCTCAAGTTTCAGTTCTTTTGTAAAGAAGTGTAAATTCTGTACCAAATAAAAACGACAGCACTCAAGTGCTCTTGTGGAGAAGTGTTACCTCAACAAATCCCAGCATTTTGCAGGCAGAGCCATTGCAACGAAAAGCAATATCAAACAGTTAGAATGGTATTGGTTAGCTACGCTAGTCTAGATGTCTGTGTAACGTAGTCTTGACATGGATGTGTCTTTGCAGGATGTCAAGTGCAGCGGAAACTGGATGTGGGCCGCCAAGCTGCCTGGTGAGGGGGCAGCCTTAGCCGAGGCCTGTCGGGCCATGTGCTCTGTGATGGGTGAACTGGGTGTCGCTGTGGACGGAGGCAAGGATTCTCTCAGTATGGCAGCCCGTGTTGGCACTGAAACGGTTAAAGCACCAGGTAAGTAAGGAGAGTCTTCCTGTCTTTTGCCCCCAGATTAATTTCCTAGGGGTAGAAGCAATCTGAGGCTTAGCAATCCAAGCAGATGCTCCCGGATCATGCATGCTTTGCAGTATGTGCTGTTCTCTATAATTGTTCTGTATAATTCTGGGTGGGTTTTCCTTCCTGTTTCTACCTCTTCCTCATGTTGTGCTTCTTTCCTACAAGGGACTCTTGTCATCTCAGCTTATGCTGTCTGTCCAGACATCACTGCCACGGTCACCCCTGACCTGAAATGCCCAGAAGGGAAAGGTAAGGTCAAGAAAACAATAATGTGCGTTTAGGTTGTCTTGTGATGGGGAAACAAAAATCCCACTTAACAACTTTTCTTGCATCCCAATTAGAATCCATTTGTTCTCTTATGGGCTGGAACAAAAGCTGGTGCAGTTAAAAGTTGGTTTTTTAAGAAGGACATAAAGATGGGTTATGAATATCTGTTTCTCTGGTCACCTACTGAGAATAATCTCTGATAAACCAGACCAAAGAAGTATCCATAAACTGAGAAAAAAATCTGTCCGTACATCCATGTGCCCAACTGTCTACCTGTATTTTGGGTTGTGGATTCATAATTTTGGACTGATTTGATATTCTTGCACGTGTGTTAGTGTATAGGAGAGGAGATGATGATGATGATTAGTTACATTTATTTCACACCTTTTCCCAGTTAATGGCAATGTATATGGCCGTATATAACCCCTTAGGTAAAGGAGATGGGTTATGAATATCTGTTTCTCTGGTGACATACTGAAATGATCTCTGATAAACCAGAGCAAAGAAGTATCCATAAATTGAGAAAAAATCTGTCCGTGCATCCATGTGCCCAACCGTCTACCTGTATTTCAAGCCATTGGGTTGTGGACTCATAACTTTGGACTGATTTGATATTCTTGCACATGTGTTAGTGTATAGGAGAGAGAGAGAGGGGGGGGGAGATGATGATGGTTAGTTACATTTATTTCACACCTTTCAACAGTTAATGGCAATTTATATGGCCATATATCCGTATATAACCCCTTAGGTAAAGGTAAAGTTTCCCCTTGACTTTTAGTCCAGTCGTGTCCGACTCTAGGGGGCGGTGCTCATCCCCATCTCCAAGCCGTAGAGCCAGTGTTTGTCCATAGACAGTTTCTGTGGTCACGTGGCCAGTGCGACTAGACACGGAACACCGATACCTTCCCACTGAGGTGGTACCTGTTTATCTACTCGCATTTGCATGCTTTCGAACCGCTAGGTTGGCGGGAGCTGGGACAAGTGACGGGAGCTCCCTCTGTCGCGTGGATTTGCTCTTACGATGGCTGGTCTTCCGACCTTGCAGCACAGAGGCTTCTGCGGTTTAACCTGCAGCGCCACCCTGTCCCTTATATGACCTTAGGCCTGACTTATTATTAGTATAGTTTAATTGCTTTTTAATTGCATGATTTACTTTGTTTTAAGGTTGTCGCTGCATTGAGTCAAGGAAAAAGGCAGCCTACACATGACATACAGTACATTTAAATTAAAGTATAAGAATATGCCAGGTCATCTAATGAGCTTTATAGCCGAGTGAGGATTTGAACCCAGTTCTTTCGGGTCCTCGTCCCACTGTGACGTGACGTTTTCGTTCAACAGCGATTTCTCTGGAATGAATTAATGTCTCAATGCGAGGCACCACTGTAATAATATGTCAGGTCATCTAATGAGCTTTATGGCCGAATGAGGATTTGAACCCAGTTCTTTTGGGTCCTCGTCCTGCACTCTGACTGTTAGATCACCACATAAGGGTTTATTGGTTTGTTGGTTTTCATTTTGGCATCTCATAGGGACCCCAGCGATTTCTCTGGAATGAATTAATGTCTCAATGCGAGGCACCACTGTAATAATATGTCAGGTCATCTAATGAGCTTTATGGCCGAATGAGGATTTGAACCCAGTTCTTTTGGGTCCTCGTCCTGCACTCTGACTGTTAGATCACCACATAAGGGTTTATTGGTTTGTTGGTTTTCATTTTGGCATCTCATAGGGACCCTGCTTCACGTGGCGATCAGTCCTGATCGGTATCGCCTGGGGGGCAGTGCCTTGGCCCAGTGTTTTTCTCAATTGGGGTTCATTTCTCCAGACCTCGATAATCCCAAGACCCTTGTTTCCTGCTTTCAAGTCACCCAAAGTCTGCTGCAAGGTAAGCATCCATCCAGTGACGGTAAGACAACCCATTATTATTTTCCTTGACCCCCGTCCTCCTTGGTATTATACTCCTAATTGATCATACAGTACTGTTGTTATACTTTCCCAACTGTTAATTAATTACCGTGGTTCCCTGAAAATAAGACAGAGTCTTATATTAATTTTTGCTCCAAAAATGCAGTAGGGCTTATTTTCAGGGGATGTTTTATTTTTTTCATGTACAACCAT